ATTTTTTTTAAAAACTAGAAAAAAAATTGAAATTTGAACTCTCCCGTTCTTAACATTTTTAAAAATTTGACCATCAAATACGGTGTTTCCTATGTGACAAGCATGTACCAAGCACTTTACCAAAGTTAGCCCAGCTAATCTGTATGGCTGTCTTGTGATGTGGTACTGTCGTTAACCCCGTTTCACAGCTGGGAGACTGAAGCACGAAGTGAAGTAATTTTCCAAGGTTACACAGCTAGTACAAACCTAACATGTAGAGACTGCTCATTCACAATGACTACAGGAAATCCAAAATCCTTGGGAATTAAGGTATCGAGAAATAAGCATGGGGCCAGCAGTGCTGGTGTAGTGTAACACGACACTTCACAATGCTATAATCACATGGGGAGGTCCTGGGTTCACGTCCTGGGGTCTCCTGTGCATGCCAGGTGTGTATGTGCATGTCCGCGATCTGGGCTCGCTGAAGCTGGAGCTGGAGTGTGGCATAAGGACCTTGTTGGGAGGGCCTGTCTTGTTCTTCTCCCTCTCACCCTCCCTCCCTCCTGCTCTTTTTCTCTCTCTTTAATGAAGAAAACACATACACATGCTTAAAAAAAATAGGCATGGATCTACATAAACCCTAGTGAGGAGCATAATAAATCACTTAAATGTAGAAGTACACCACTCTATTGAATTACAAGGCTGGGTATTATAAAGATTAAACTTTTCTCTAAATTCATTTATAAATTTAGTGTGATTCCGAAACAAATCTCAACAGACAATTTTAGGAATGTCATTCAATATTCCTAAGGATATCTAGAAGAGTTAAGATGTGATAATATTATATAAGATGATTAACCAGGAGGATTGTTCATTTATATATTAAGATTGCACTAATTAGCAATAAAACAGTGGGCACAGATGGGAAAACATACACACAGTGTAAAGGTCGCTTGTCTCTTAGACACCAGTTAATCATTAAAACCTTTGTCCATTTGATTTGTTACTAAGCATTTTGCATACATAAGATTGAACACTTCGCCTGCTTCTTGACCCACTGTATTCTCACTTTAGCAGCTACTGATTGATAGCCTTCGTATATTTTTTTACTAGGCTCTAATATACTTCTTTGGTTTAAAGAGGTGAGGTAAGATAGGCAGACACAGAAATGGCTCATATAATGGAAGAAGCCCTTTATACTCACAAAGCCCTAGACATGTAAGGCAGGGCCATAGACACAGGGCCACCTGGGGTGGCACCAAGCTAAGCTGGGAGGTAGAGGAGAGGGGCGATGTGGGTGAGAGACTTTGTTGTGGTCTCTCTGGGAATGACTGGGAGAGGGAGGTAAGCATGCTTAGGGGTGGCTAGTGTAGCTTCAGCAGTCTCTGGGACACAGGGACTGTGCCTCGGTGCCTGGTACCTGACCCTGCAGTGGCTAGGGCAGGGGGGTAGAAGCCCATTGAGGCTGACAGTGTGACAGCCCATAGAGGAGGCGGTTGGGATGTGGGCTCGGGCTTTAGATTAATGGGCATGTATTTAAAGGCAGGCTCCCAGGAGTCAGTCACTCTCTCTAGGAACTTGCTTACCAGGGAAGGGCCATCCCTTCAGATCAGCACAGCCCCCGCTGTCAAGGCATCAGATATAGAAAACAAGACATGTTCAGTACATTCAGCTTGGCTGCATAAGATTCATATATACTAAAAACAGTGGGCCTTTCTGTTTTTGTTCTATGTGTTGTTGTCTTTTAACCAAGATGACATGCTTAAAAACGTGCCATATGGAATCTCGCCCTGTGGGATAAGATCTTCCTCTTCCCGATTCCCCTGACTCTGTTTTCTCTATGCCCTCTGCTTTTCATGGTAAGGTTTATGTTTTTGGTTTTTTTTGGAGAGGTTTTTTTCGCTATAGGGCGCGTGCGCTCGCCAGACAGACAGAGAGAGACATAGAGACAGAAAGCGAGAAATCACCCCCCAGGGGGGATGGTCACGCCGCAATCCCTTCTCCTCCATTCTCCTCTCGGGATCTTGGGCATGTACGCACACACACCCGGCGTGAGTTTTAAGCCACCGGGTCCGGGACGCGAACCGCGGTCGACTACGTGGGAGTCCAGCGACATAGCCATCATGCTAACTGCTGGTTCCCTATGGTAAGGTTTTAAAACCACGTTTAGGCACACACCCTATAGCAGAAAAACCTCTTCAAAATAAATAAATAAATAAAAATTTAAAATTAAATAAATAAATAAAACCACGTTCAGGACTGAACCTCTTAGCCTAATTGTTAAGGGGTTAAATTCCACATGTCTGACTGAGGTTCTCATCCTGGCCCCAGACACTTAAGAAACATGCCAGGTACATATGCATGCACGCTCCAAGTCAAAACAGGATCGAAAAATGGAGAAGGGATTGCAGTATGGCATGTCCCATTGGGGTTGCTTTCTTTCTCTCCTTCCCTCTCTCTCTGTCTCTCTCTAGTGAGTGCACATGCCCTTTTGCAATTAGACTGTTTTTTTGTGACAGCGTGCACCTGGTGGGGCTGTTCTCGGATGAAATGTCATGATGCTCCTAATAGGCATAGCCTGAATTTGCTATTCAGTGAACACAAGCTCTGTCCTTAACAGCTGTTACAAGTATTTTCCCCCAAATTTTTCCTTTGTTGAAGTTTGATTGTACCACACCTAATTTAAATTTAAAAAATAATTTATTGGGACCAACAGATGGCATAATGGTTACGTTGGTGGACTCTTACATAGTTGACTGTGGTTTGAGTCCCAGATCTGGCAGCTTAAAACTCACACTGGGCGCCTGTGCGTAGGTGCCCAAGTTCCCGAGAGGAGAATGGAGAAGGGATTGTGAAATGGCCTTCCCCATAGGGAGTGATTTCTCACTTTCTGTCTCTCCAGCAAGAACATATGCCCTATAGCAAAAATATCTCTCTAAAAAATTTTTTTTGTCCAGCTGCTGTGGTGCTGCAGTAACACAAGTGCCCAACAAGGATGGAAGCCACAAGGCTGACTGGGTTCTGATCCCTGAGTCAGCTTGCAAACATGCCAGGCAAGTGTGCGGGCACCCAGGATCCAGACGAGTTGCAGGGCTGGGGAAGGGATGGTGGCATGAAGACACCCAGTTGGAGATTCTTTCCTCTCTCTCTCTTTCTTATGAGTGTGCACATGTCTCTGTCATAAACCCAATAAAAATGATCATTTTCCTTTCAGATTCCCATTTTTAACCTTGTAAAGGCAGTAGCACGATGAATGAGATCGTAAGTCTGGAAATCAAACTGGTTATTTGAATCAGGACCATGCCACTTCCAAAGAGAACCTAGTTTTATGGCATCTGTGTGCCTCTGTTTCCTTCCCAGAATTTGGAGATTTGTGTCTAAGACCCAGAGACACCATGGCTATTAAAGCTAAGATTTACTATACAATCTTGTTGGCATATTTTTCAGATTCTATGAAGAGCAAACTGGAAGAGCGAGCATCCTTGGAGTTTCTGGGATCTCGCTTAATGACACACATATACTTGATAAAAGCTGCCTTGAAAAGTCCGCCTTGTGGGAAAAAAAAAGAAAAAGACGAACGTTATACCACAAAGCTTTACAGCAGCACCACCTAGTGACAGACACATGAAATTACAGCAATGGGCCTAGAAAACCAAACTGAAATAAAATTATTGCTGTAATGATTAGACTAAAATCCTATCCTGATTTTTCAATAACTATTGCTTCATTTCCTAATGGCTTGAAGTTTTTTTCTCTCTCATCTGGATATTGTCAAAAAAAGGTGTCTAATCTGGAAAGAGTATATATATATATATATATATATACACACACACACACACACACATACATACACAACATATATGATTTAGTGACCTGCCCATTCAATAACTTTATTGAATGAGCAAATTGAGGGTCAAATTATATTTATTTATTTATTTCAATTTGCTATCCGGCACATGTGTTTGCTGGAGAGAAAGGAGAAAGAGAAAGAGAGAGAGAGAGAGAGAGGAGAGAGAGAGAGAGAGAGAGAGAGAGAGAGAACGTATTCCCCAGGGAGGGGATGTCCATGCCTGCAATCCCTTCTCCTCCGTTTTCCTCTCGGGATCCTGGGCATGTATTACACACATGCAGGGCATGTTTTTCGAGCCACCAGGTCCAGCACTGGAGCCACCAATTGGCCATGTAGGAGGGATCCAGCTGCCGTAACTATCACACCACCTACTGGCCCGAAAGAAGCATATTTTAAAGAATTGTAGCAGGGCTCACAGATGATATCCATGCCACCCCTCACTTCTCCTGTGCCTGACTTGCTGCACACCCTCTCTAGAGACTGGACCACCATGCTGGATGCTCTCCCAGTGGTGTGACTTAAGACCACAGATAGCAACAGAGCATGATGAGAGAAACAGCGTGGTCCCTGGTGGTGGACAGAGCTAGATTCTACTCCCAAGGAAGACATTTTTTTCACCTGTGTCTTCCTGGGCAGGTGACTCAGAGCTGTTTCTCATCTCTGAGGTGGGGAGCACACCATCTCCCTCCAGGGTGGTCAAGGGAGTGACTGCACAGGTCTTCCCAAATTGGTCACAAACCAAAACCATTTTGTTTGGGTTTTGTTTTTAGCCGGAGGATAAGAATGTGTGAGAGAGAGCACAAGCAACCCCCAGTAGGGCTTGGTCACCCTGCAATCCTTTTTCCTCCATTTCTCCATTCCATCTGGACGCTGGGCATGAGCACACATTCGGTGTGTTTTTCAAGCTGCAGGAGCCAGACTCGAAATGTGGTTTGCTATGTGGAATCCAGCTCCCCCTGCACAGCACTTCAGCCCTGCACTCCAGGCTGGCCCTGTAAGCCTGTTTTAAATAGATTATTATGTTTCTTTTCTACAGGTGGTTTCTCTCCACTTGTGTGGTTTCCAGACTGTGAACTACTCTATTTTCCCTCCCCATTTTCAGCGTGTTTTGCCTCATAATGATTGAGCCGGCACCCTCCCTCCATTCAATTTTATCTTTGATATTTTCCAGGGTCTACAACTAACTAGTAGAGGGAACAGACCAGGACACGATGCCGACAGTAATTTCCAAACTGCGACCTGAGAGAAATAAGTATTTAAAAATAATCCAAAGCCAATAATTTGGAAGCATTATTTATTCAAACACATCAAAATGTTTTATTTCCTCTTCAATGGGATACATCTTAAAGTGGTGAAATATACAAGTATAAAAATAAGATTCCTTTGGAAAACTCCTATTCTGAAGGGCACAACTGTTTGGACATTCTTCAGTAGCTGCAGAGCCACTTTTCAGATGGAGTGACTCTCTTTAGTCATCTTGGTAGATTTAAAGTTGTGCACAAATCTTTAAATCTACTCGGTGCACTAGATACAGAAGAAAACTCCAAAAGAAAAATATAAAATAATTGTAAGCAGCTTTGGAAATATAGGCGACACTTAAGAAGCAGGTGGTAAAGGATGTTAATCTGAGACAGATGCAAAATGCATTTTGCAAAGCATTCTTTTCAGCATCAAATGCTTTAGTACACACGACATTTCACAGTTCTCCCAACAGAACCCGAACACTGCTAATGTAGCATGAAAGTAGCCCACTTTAATATGAGTGGCCTCTTTCAGTGACTGGACATAGTCATTTCAAAGTTTAAAAAAAATTTTTTTAGAAGTTTTTGCCTTAAGGTGTGTGAGCTTGCAGGGGAGGGGAGGAGTGAGAGGGAAAGTGGGAAATCAGCCCCCGGGGAGGATGGTCACACCACAATCCCTTCTCCTCCATTCTCCTCCTGGGATCTTGGGCACGCATGCACACACGCCTGGCATGATTTTCAGCCACTGAGTTTGAGACTTGAAACACAGTTGGCCATGTGGGAGTACAGTGACCTAACTGCTACATCATCTGCTGGTCCTGGCATTTCAAACTATAAGAATGTTTACCTATGCAAATGAACAGAAATAGTAGGAAGCATATAAATTTAGATCAGTTTTCATTAGCATGTAACAAACACATTCATTCTCTTTCCCCTCACATGTGCTGAGTAATTGTGACATACAGTAGAATTTCTAACCTCACCAAGAAGGTGTGACATTATGTCTACAATTAGAAAATGAGAAAAAAATATTAAAAACAATAGCAAGTTTTATAACTCTAGCAACAAAAAACATATAAATGAATAAAAAATTGTTATAATTTTTTTTGTTTGTGATTTTCATTATACACGAATAGATCCTTAATTAGCTTTGCTCATTCTTTTTCTTTCTCTCAAAAAAATCACCTTTTGACATTTTCTTACTATTTCACTCAGGAACATTAACCTCAGAAATGTTAGACTAGTGTAAAATTTTAATTTGATAGGTAAAGTGTAGTAGGCTGAAAGTTTAGTTATATCAGGAAACTTTTAAGAAGCTTCATATGCATTTAACACAAAAATAAGCCCTGATCATCGGAGACACTTGCCTCCTTGTGACATTCTGACCGATGCATCCACTGTGAACAAAAATATATCTCTATTCCAACCTCAGTGAAGGAGATCCTGAGGAAATGGAGTGTGGAGGAAGCCCAGCGTCTCTGTCTCCTCGCAGTGATACCACTACAATGGTGGCTGTGCTCCCCTAATTGGCAGTTTGTGTCAGAAACCTACCGTTTGTGACTACAATACGTGGTTACAAATCCACATGGGCAGGGTATTCTACTCAGACTGCAATGTGTGGGTGTGCCTGTGTGCTCCACGCCGTTTACACTGTACCCAGCTCAGCTGACTTCACACGAGAATTCTCCACCTGTCCAGGGAGGGCACTGCTGCTCTGTGGACAGGGCAGACCCCAACAGAAGATGCCCAGAAATAAGACAGACCTTTTGCCCTCAGATCTTTTCTGGTATCCCAAGATGCTCGCTGGAAATGACCAGAATTGCTGCGTCAACAGTGATACCCAAACAATACTCGTGCCTACTGGGCATAGGGGCACATAGGGCCTCATGGAACACCCCAGGCATCACGGAGCACACGGAGCAGGTGGCTTAAGTCGCACTTGCCATGGGCTGGATTGGAAATCAGCAGG